TTTGTTTCGTACCAGACAGACGAGTAAGCTAATTTGGAAGTTTGTATTTGATATTTAAATACTATTTGTCATTTTATGCAGATGAGAGTTGACGATTATTATTCAAGGTGAGCTATTATTTGTAAATTGCTATAAGACTGTTTTTTAACAAGTAAACAACATAAAATAATAAAAGGTAACGATTATCAGTTCTTATATCTGAATAAATTTATTACTCTTTTCCTAAATAATGTGCATAATTGTGTATTATATTTTAGGGCCTATTATATTATTTTAAACATGCTAGTATATTTTATTATTAAAAAAAACGATAGGAATTAACAAAATATTATGACACTATCCAACATAGCTTAATCTAATCTTTAGACACAAATTAACAAACGATCACTCTCCAAAACTAGTTTTTTTTAAGTCATAAGTCTCATTGATTTTGCTTATGCAAAACGATTTAAGCTAATGGATTTGAATTGTGGTAAAAAAAATGTATTATGGCATACTATATAATGTCATGGAATCGTTACTAAAATCAACGTTAATGATTGTACGGACTGAAAATAATGTCTTCCGTGGGTGGATAAGTTATTATTATACAACTTCACTTAACTCCTACATTTGTACATTGTAACTAATTATAGGAAATGATTTATATTAAAATTATATTCAGAAAAGGACCGTTGAACTAACTAAACACAAAGTAATGAACTCGTGTCGTTCATAATTGCATACACATTTATGTAATGGTTTGTTGCTGCGAATATATTTATGTTTCACTGATTTATTATGCTTCATCTGAGTTCTGATTTTTTAGGAATACAAATTTAATAATAAAATCAGTCTTTATTAACAACACTTACATAGAGTAAGTTATTTAATAAATTAATACAAGTAAATCCGTGGAGGAAAATAAATAATATTAACAGAATAGTTATTAATCGATTTCTTTGATACTTTTTTTCCGTTTATTGACATCCATTACAAATGTCCTGTAGCCAGTGCAAAGTACCTACTCTAATTACCATACACGAATTACTAGAAAATGATATGAAAAAATTTTAAGGTGTGCCAAGATTAATCATAAGCACACCATGGCATTATATAATTTTACATAGATTAAAATAAAATTGTCTCGTAGTCGCACCAGAGTCATAATGGGGATAGTTGGGAGTAGATGGTTAGTCGGGTGCTGTACATAATATGTCACTGGGCCTTGGCCTGTATTGTATTATTAAAATAAAATAAAATAATAGCTATGCATTTGAGAGCAAAACTACTATGAAATTAATAAACAGTTTTTTTTTAAAAAAAATTTGAAATTTTTTCTTTAACCCGCTGAAAATGGTTAGAATAGTTCCAAATTTTTTTTTATCAACCCTAAAAACACTTACATTAAATGATGATAATATGGTAGTATATTATATCCAACGAATATCCCATACAAGTTTGGAAGTAAATAAACGGTATTTAACAAATGTATTGCTTGCCGTAATTTTAAGATGACAATTCTGCACATTTTTAGGGTGTTTTTTTCTATTTTGAAGGAGTTAAAGTTATTTTTTTTCTTCAATTTTTGCCTTACCATACGATTCTGGATCGATAGAGATGCTACTCGAGAAAATCGGCCGACCGAAAAAAAGTTATCAACCTACAAAAGTATTATGTAACTATAAACCCATAATTCATTAATCATATGGAATGCTGCATTCACTGAAATACTTAGAAGGTTTTTGAGATTCGACAATCCTCTATAATTACTTATTGGATAATTACCAACAGTCAGAAAGGAATTTACAATGCTTTGCTAATAATAATAGTACTTAACTGATTTATGTACCAGAGGTAAATAAATAGTTGTTGTTTTTGAATTATGCTTTTTTAGTAAAAAATAACGAAAAATAGAAACAAAAATTGACTGAAAATAAAATATAGTGTAATAAATTATTACTTATTTACACTGGTCGAATCGTTGAATTTGGTGTTATAATAAGATTAAAAGGTAGAATAATATTATACCAGATTGAGAATTGAGGCCATGAGATGATTTAAATATCAACGACTTTAATTGACGCTCAAATATTATTAACAAAATAAAATCTATTAAATAAATCATATTTACTATGAAACCATTCTTTTCGTTTATAGATAGTTATATATAGAAATATAAATCCTCTTATGTCGGTATTAACCAGTTAATAGAATACTTATAATTATTCATGCAAGTCTTCTATCGTCGCTAAAAAAAAAACATGTCAAGTTGCCGAGGCATAGTATTTAATACAGCCAAAAAAATTAAAAAACCAATGAATTATTTCACACATGAGTAATAATTATTGAAACATTAGTATTCCAGTGTCAAAAATCGAGTAGATTTTCTTGCATAACATATTTCACATAAATCATAATATTATATTTTGGCACAAATTGTATTTATGTACAATACAACAATAAAAAACACTTAAACGAAACAATAATTTACGAGAAAACTCGCAGGAATCTTATGTGAATGTTATTTTTCGTATATTATACAGCAAAAAAATGCTATAGGGATCACTTTTAAGTATGATAAAACATTTGGATTTTATTGAAAATCAATTCACTTTATTGACTTTATGTGACAAAGTTGGGTGACAATAACGTAAAATCAATTAATAATTGTTCCGGTACGATGAACCACAATGAGCATGTACATTTCTGCTTTTCTATCGTCTTTTTTAATTTTACAACAGCTTCCTTGTTGCATGCATTTTGGCCGTCGTAATAATTATAGGTTTATTACTGACTTAATTGCCAGGCTCGTGTCTACTTAGACGTCAACGATACATCTACTAAATATAACGATGCATGTACTGTATTGGCCGAGAAGGCGATTAACACCGCCAAATACCTAATTAGGAATAGCACCGAGCAACACTCTCACCGGTTTTGTGAATGTTTTATTTTTCCTTCTAGTTATGTCATCATTTTGTGTTCCACATATGCATTACTGCCGCGCAAGAAAACTCATCAAACCGGTGAATTAGTGTACATGCATTTTCACCTTGACCAAATTCACACAAAATTATCGTTTTAGCTTTAACCAATCGCCCGGTCCGTACTAATTATGATCTGTAATAATAATAATGACAACCAATCATTTTCCCCGTACACTTTGGTATTAGTGATTACGTTACGCTCACAACAAAGCACTTGTAATTTTTCAACGTTCAACGTTCGCCTAGATAAATATTATACTACTTAGATTATCTAAATACACACACAACGTAAAATATCTATTGCAAAACGGATAGATATAGGCACCACGAAAAGCATATTAGAATAGGAGTCGATGATTATAACAAAATCATTACAACATAATTCCCTATAAAAAAAATCCACACAAGACAACGCTTTAAGTACAAAAGTATTTGCAATTGACAGTTAAAGTATACATACACAGTATACAATATATTGATACGATAAATTAAATATCATTCGAGGTCAGTGTCATACAGATTGGTTTAAATACAGTTGGGACAAAATGTAGTTAGTGCGAAGAGGGGAAATACGATTACCCGTTAATAGTAATTGCTTGTGTCTATGGAATTTTGCCTTGACGTTTGAATGGATATCGATAAAGGGCAATGATATTGATTTTGGATCAATCGAATATGTAATGAACTCACCAACGGATGATATAACACCTACTACACACCAGTTTCAAAGTAATCGCACTTCAATTTTTTTTTTAATTAGAGACTGAACAGACAGACGATGAATTTCCGTTTCAGAAACAAATATACAAAATAATGTCATCACATAATTAATATACATACTGACACCGTACACAAATACAATTTCCCAAGATACAAATCTAGGCCTGTAAAATATGCCCTTCGAACAGACGCGAAAAACATATTAATATATCCCAGCTAGGAAAAAATAATTCAGTATAATTATTGCATGCTTCGAAGACTGTTTACCAAAGTTGTTTACCATGATAACTAAATATTTATTTTTTGACTTGTACCACTTTTGAAAGACATGTGCAGTATGTATCTCTAGGATAAACCAGTAGTTATACAAAAAAAAAATTCTACACCGTATTGCAAACATTTTAAATGGAACTCAAAGAAATCAAATTTTGTTCCAGCCGATTAACATACTGTCCTTGAATATTTTATAAAACGATATGTTTAAATTCCAATAGTAACGCAGTCATAATATAAATTCTGGGTATCGTTTGAACATATTTTGTGATTTTTAAAAATATCGTTTTGATCGTGTTTAATAATATCAAAATCGGTAAAACAATAAGTTTAGTATATTAGTTTGATTGCATTCCGAAAGGAAAAGTCAAACGGCAAAATACAGTTAAAACTTTTTGTGTAAAAGATTTTTTCTCTAAAAAACACAAAAGTTTATCTTGATTTTATAGAGAACACAAGAGAATTAATCAGAAAATGAATACCAGGAAAACAATTACCTTTATTCCACCATACCTAGAACCGTTATCCCAGAAATCAAATTATAGATCAAGTCACTGCAATGAATCCTATGGAACGTTTTTTGGTATTCATATATACTTTTTTTCATTTATACTACTAATGTAATTTTCGTTTTTTTAATTTTATACATAAAATTCAAATAACATTACATTACGATTATATAACACCGGCACATCGTGGGTGTCAAATGGAAAAACACAGACAAGAAGCATCTCGTGCAAATAATGGATTCTGCATTTCGGCCGGTGTGTGAAAGGGGATAAGCGACGGTTGTGTCCGAAGGTCAACGAACAGGATTCTCCTCCTTTGTGGAACTCAAAAATAATTATTATCACCGCGCACCCTTGACTTAACGTAAACAACCGGTTTAACGTTTATAGAAAAAAAAACAAATAATTAAAAACATTATATACCGAGAAAAAAAAACATTTGAACAAAGATGTTCAACTAGTGGGAGGAGGAGCTTAAGACCGAACAGTGTAAAAAAAAGATAGGTACTCCCATCATCGCGGGATTACTGGTTTTTTCGACAATATTCTAGCTGGAGACCGTCCAACTTTCTGAAAGAATATATATATTAAAGGCGACTCGATTGGATATCCAGTCAATTGTTCGCTGGACAAGGCAGAGTCAACATGGCTTCAGCTACTATGGTGAGTTCAAATATATTTCGTAATATTACTTAAGTACTTCGGCAAAGTTTCTATTATTATAAATAATCAAAATAAATCCGTAACCGTTAATAATTTAATGTCACTCAACTAAGACTTAAGTTTATAATTTTTACTTCAATTTTATTAAAAGACATTTTTTTTCAATCCAATTATCATTGAAAATTAAATTAATAAATGTTAATACTTGATCACAATAATTGAGAACATAGTCTAATTCTATCTCGATATATTGGTTCTCAATCATATATGGTCATGTGTTAACGCCATAGGGTATAAATACAAATGATACAATTTTATATTCGAGAGCACAATCTGTTATTTTAAACTAATGATCTGATTGTATATAAGTTTCTATACAGTTAGTTGTCCCAATTGATAATTTAAATAATCAGTTATATTCAAATTGTTTACATAGACCATTAATAAAAAACTTTGAGTACTTAATTATATATTATTAATTATACCCTCCAGATATCTCGGATAGAATATAATATCTCGAGGGTATAACAAATTATGTATAATTAAGTACTCAACGTTTTTTATTAATGGTTTATGAATGAGCAATTTTAATATAGCTGATTATTTCAACTGTCGATTGGGATAACCAATTTTATTTAAACGTATATACTATCAGATTATTAGTATAATATAACAAGTTCTGCTCTAAAATTTACAAATGTTTTTGTTTGTATTTATACCCTATACATTTTTAGTTGATCATTTTATGTGTAAATGGGTACAAAGAAAAGATATGTGTATAACACTCCTACACCTAGTCCAGTATATACTGGAAGGATTTTAAAAATGTTAATATATATATATATATATAATTATATATTTTAGAATACTAAAGTTAAATAAATTCAAGTACTGCTATATAATAATGTACAAATAAGTGGTTAAGTATAAATTATTTTCTAACCGTCCAATAATTATTAAAAGGTGCCAGTTATTTATTAAGTAAAAGTGTTTCTTAGCCTATGTAGGCTAATAAGTAAAAGTTTAATATCTTATTCTATTAACTTCTACGGTAGATTTAAATATTTTATTTTTGAAAACCATGTCGCCTTAACAAGTAAATATTGTTTGGAACATTTTTAGATAATACATATTTTTAACGATTGTGCAGGGTGGAATTTTAATACAACTCGATTCTGCAATTTTATAAAACGTAAATAATAATGTTTTTTTAAATATGTTTAGGTGGGTTTATAATTGTGAAACAATAACGTAGTCTATTGTTACATAGTCAGTATTAACGGTTTTTTTTAATATTAAGGCGGCATGGTTTTTTATTAACCTATTTATCTATTTTACCGCCTCTTTGTATGCTATTATAATTTCGGATGTAAATAATTTATAATTGTGACGTTTTTTGATAACCTTGGGTTAAGTCCTAGTAGAACATCGCAATTATGATTAGATTTTTAGATGAAATAGAAATTTACTCTTTCTCAAGTAATAAATAGTATTATAATAATATTAGGTTTTGGTTTAAGAAGTATACACCCTGTAGATTTACCGTTTTATTTGTTTTTTATTTAAATCGTTCTAATTTATTTACGAAATTTGAAATCATTATTTTAATTATATGTATACGTATAATATATTGTATTGACGGTTTTTTTCGATTTTTTTGTTTTGTTTCTAGTTTAAATTAGCTCTTCTCGGCTTCCTAGTCGTATCTTCCTCATTGGCGGAAATCAAATCCGACAAAAAGGGAAAACGCGCAGCGTTCGCTTTCGGAACCAAGTACTTCGGTTCGTCCACACCGGCTCCGTTCGCCAACTCATACCCGACTACCGCCGCTCCCTTGAAATCGTTCTCCTACTCCACGGCGGCTCCATTGGCCTACAACGACTTCTCGTCCACCATCGCCCCTGCCGTAAAATCCTTCTCCGATGAAGGCTTCTTAGCCGGCTCTACAGCCGCGCCTCCTTTGGCCGGACCCGCGTTTTCCGACGCCGCCGCCTCCGGCTACTCGTACTCGACTCCGGCCCCATTCGCCAGCTCGACCTTAGCCCCGCAGTACCCGGCATCTTTTGCTGGTTCTTCGTACCCGACCTCCTATGCCGCCGGTTTGCAGTACCCGGCCTCATACGGATCGCAGTACCCGGCCTCCTTCGCCGGCCAGCAGTACCAGGCCTCCTCCTTCACCGGTTCGTCCACACCGGAACCGGTCCTCCTCAACAGATCGCCGGCTTTCGACACGGCCTACGGTAGCTACTACGGAAACTCTTATGGCTCTAACGGCCAGTCTTCTTACTTCGCCTCTTCCACCGCCGCGCCGAGCGGTTTCGAAGGCTCCACGGCCTCCTCCGCTTCCTTCGTCAAGTCGGAAGACGCCGTCCAAGTGAACGCCGCCCCAGTTCCGGCACCCAGCCACGAAGTGCACATCACCAGGGAAGTCCCGGTACCTTACTACGTGCAAGTCGAAAAGCGAGTGCCATACCCCGTGCTCGTCCGCGTGCCACATCCATACCCGGTCACGGTAGAGAAGCACGTCCCGTACGCCGTTAAAGTCAACGTGGACAGACCCGTACACGTTCCACAACCTTACCCCGTGGAAATCGAAAAGAGAGTACCGTACCCCGTGGAGAAGCCAGTGCCCTACGAAGTCAAAGTGCCGGTGGACAGACCGTACGCGGTTCACGTGCCATACGAGAAACCAGTTCCTTACCCAGTCGAGAAGCCCGTGCCGTACCCAGTCCGTGTGAATGTCGACAGACCGTACCCAGTAGAAAAGCCAGTGCCGTACCCGGTAACGGTGGAGAAAGCCGTTCCTTACCCAGTCGAAAAGGCCGTGCCATACCCGGTAGAAAAACTGGTGCCGTACCCTGTAGAAAAGCGAGTTCCGTACCCAGTCAAGTACGAAGTGCCAGTAAAGGTACCTGTCCCCTATGAGGTCAGAGTTCCAGTCAACGTAGATAGGCCAGTTCCCTACCCGGTAGAGAAGAGAGTGCCGTACCCCGTCCAAGTTCCGGTCGAAGTCAAGGTACCCGTACCCGTCCAAGCTCCAGTCCAACGTTTCGCCACCGTACACTACTATCAACATGGCGGTTTCGAAGGCCCTCAATTGGCCCAATTCGGTAAAGCCGGATACAATGCAGCTTCCGGAAGCGGCGAGTTCTACGGCTCTAACGCCGGCCAGGCCTTTGGCTCCACTGCCGCCCCGGCACTTAACGGTGCCAACTTCTACAGCTCCACTGCCGCCCCGGCACTGAACGGTGCCAACTTCTACAGCTCCACCTCAGCCCCGGCTAGTTTCTACGGCTCCAACGCCGGCTCATCTTTCACCTCAACTGCCGCCCCCGCGCTTTCCGGTGCCAACTTCTACAGCTCCACCCCAGCCCCGGCTAGTTTCTACGGCTCCAACGCCGGCTCGGCCTTCGGCCCCACCGCCGCCCCCGCACTTTCCGGTGCCAACTTCTACAGCTCTTCCTCCGCTCCGGCTAGTTTCTACGGGTCCACCGGCAGCCCTGCCGGTATCTTTGGTTCCGGTGTGTCCTCGGACGGCTACTTCGGACTCAACGAAGCCCAGAAGAGCGGTTTGTTCGGATCGCAGAATTTCTTCGGTTCGTCCACCCCGGCCCCATTCGGAGACTTCGGCAAGTCTCTAAAATCTAACGACGATGCTTCCGTGTCTTCTGGACAAGAAGCCGTCCAGATCGGTGGCCAAAAATCCGTCGAACCAAAAGTCGAGTCCAGCCAAGCATCCGAAGAACCGAACAGCACAAAGTAAGAGGAATATGAGTCTTAGCTGACCATAAATCATACGTCAAAAAGAAATAGACTGTTTCGCCGATCAACTGATGATAACAGTATTATAATTAGGTACACTTCTTTATTTTTGTCAGTAATAATTATCGATAAACTCGACAAAACAGATATTATATATGTCATATAAATATTTTTTTTTAATATAAAAAGTTTATCGATATTTGAAAAACCATTATGTTATTTGTGTACAATTTTTAATTATATATAAATAAACTTCCAAATAATGTAATACGCATTCTTAACTACTTAACACATTATTTACCTTAATTTGGGTAGCTCTAATTTTTTTTGTACATATTTTAACGTGTCCACCGCCACCACCTCCGCTGTCTTAGTGGGCAGACAGGGAAAAGTAACGTACATTATACTATACAGTGTTCCAGGTTGAATTGGAAAAGGTTTTGGGGAGAGAGAAAAACGGTTTTTCGATTGCCCGCAGCAGCCATAGTAGTATACCTATTATACCCATTGCAGAGAATGGTATAGCAGTCGACGTTTTCGCCGAGTAGGGGTACAGATAAACAATATAGTTTTTTTATATATTAAGTAAAATAGAATGAAGTGTATCACAGACTATATGTGCATTAAACGTAATTAGACGTTGGTGGAAAGTGGATTCTTTATGGACAGTTCTAGTTCGCGTAGTCTGCACACCGTACACATATCGAGATATGGTATAATAAAAACATAGTTTAAACATAAATCAACAGTGACAACAATATATTTTTATAAATAATTATTTGAAGTACAAATTCTCCGAGGAAAAAAACACAAAGGCGACAAATTTGGTTTCTCGATGGAGGTAAGTTTGTAGTTTGGTTTGTTTTTTTAAACTATACTCGCCAGATAAAAAAATGTGAACTTTTTTTGTGTTTAATGTGTTAACTATTTATTTTATATAATTAATAACTATATACGTAAATTCAAATTCGATCGGGCGGATTTTTAATTAAATTTGTTAAAAGTATTAATACATAAAAAAAGAGTACATTATTTTTGTCACTATTAACTTCTTTTTTTTTTTCTGGCCACAACTAAGTCAGGTTTTACGGAATATTATACTATGCACAATTATGCACATACTATGCACAATTTAAAGTCAGTTGAATTTGATTTTTAATACTTTGTACCCAAATAATATTAATACGTTTGAATCGCGGCCAGTTTCACATTTTTGTATGATAAATCTGAACCATTATCTTATCTGATATTGATTTTAAACTATAACTCTATTTAATTAATAATTTCTTAAATTATAATATTTACATGAAATATTCATATAAATAAAAAACTAAATTAATATTTTTATTTCAAATCTTATCTACACATCCTTACCTCGTTGAAACGTTATATAGTATAAAACAATTATCTCAAAAAGTTGCTTGCTCCCCCATTGTAAATAAATGAACCGGACAACTCCCCAATCTTATTTTAAATATTCAATATTATTCCAATTATTTAGAAAAGGTATTGTATATTATGAAAATAAAGTGAACGAAAAAATTGATTGGAATACTAAATGTATATGTAGTTGAATTACACATTAAAAAAATATTCATATTATCAATCAAAATTATTAGTAGTTTTCGTCAGTAAAATAATTGATTTTTAATTTAAAATGATAAAATATTATTATTTTTAGTTTTTTTTTATTAAAAATTAAATTTTAATATAGACGGTTTTTCTTGTTTGTTTGGTTTATAAAAAAAATGCTCAATTTGATTTTGTAATCATAATTTTGTATAGTTTTTATTTTCAATGAAATGTTGTTCAAGTGTGAAGTGTGTATACAATTGTTTATCATATAAATAATTAAAAAAACGTAGATTTCGGAATACGAGATATTGCTATTCAAATAAGGAACATTATAATAATATGCTTGTTTATGCAGAATACAAATTTAAGGACAAATTAATTTGCAAACTTTTCGTTCGGAGATTATAATACAAATTATAATCTTCATCAAACCTGTTAAGAACTAAAAAAAAACAAAAATTCTGTCTATAATTATAAAACAAAAAAAGCAATTGAATTATTTAAATCGGCGATAATTAATGGATTTTTTATTTTTATGTACTTATATTAAATAGTATATATTATAAGTAATAGATATTTTTTGTTCATCATATTACACTCCATTACATATCATTATAGAATAAATTTGGCTAAAATAGTACAAATTCGAGAAATAAGTTTAATAACCTTCTATGTTTGCATTCTTTACATATATAGTTGCCAATTAACACTGATTTAAATACAACAAATATGACAATTTGATAAATAATTACTAATTACCAACTGAGCACATTCGTATTTATCTTATTATAATAAGGTATACATAATAATTTTTCTTCTATACACCTTACTTTATACACACGAGGTCGGCTAACAAAATATTTTCTCATCACATTCATCTATTCATCGCTGAATAAAAATTGTGAATGTAGTTTTTGGATACAGAAAATAAGATAAAGTCAATCCATGTAGGAATTATTATTCAATTCAGTATTACTAAAATACTGAAAAGGTCCTTTCATTTAGTACTATTATTTGAATGTTTATAACCCGACAATTTTAAACCAAATTTATTTTAATTAAACGCTCCACATGTGTAATATATTTTGCTTATATGTATATATTTATACTTATACCTAATTAAGGACTACCTAGAACGAAATTTTGGAAATTGTAATGCCTCTATCGAAACAAAATTAAAATTGCTTTGAGTGTTCGATTGACAAGTATAAAAAAAATAATAATAACCGAATCAGACTAAATTCAACCGTTTACTTAAAAATAATAGCGTGTCAAGAACTAACGAACAGTTAGCCATAATTTATGATAGTTATGCGGGAGTAATAGTTGTTGCTGAGGAAACATTAATGATGTGAGATATTTTACTGTTAACATAACGCCATAAGCGAATATTTTTTACCGAAATGTGCTTGGATTGCTATTCGATGATATACGGTAAGATATCTGTAACAAATGTATAAACACTTATGGTCCGTTTCCAATGTATTAAGTATTACACTGTTGACGTTGCGGTTGCGGTTAGTCGTTATTTTTACAGCTGTTACGTATTCGTTTGCATGACGTCTCACGTAAAGTCGGTTAACAAAACCAACAAAATAATGTAGGCATCTTTAGCCTCCCCATAACGTCACCGGCGTCGACGAAGAAACTGTTTTAATACCGTTAACCTAACCTAACCATCAATCAAACACTACCTACCAAATTTCCTTCTCACATACTACCTAGAACGCTTAACCATAACGTGACTTGAGAACAAAAAACGTTCATAATTATTGTTAAGCTAAATTGTGCATATTGTTTAAGCTCATAATGACTATTTTAGCTTTATTACTCTTTGTGGCATCCAGAATTGGAAGGTTCTAAATAGTTAAAAAAATAAAATTTTGTTTATTGATTTTCTGTTACAGAAACAGAAATGGCTATTCCTCACGTTGTTGCTGACGCACGCGTTAGCCGAACATAGCACGACGTCAAGTAATAAACGGTCGGACGAGTCATCGACGGAACAGACAACGACGGCCCGCGACGGCGTCATCGCCGAGTCCCGGAAAACGGAAAAACGAGGCCTGGAAAACTCGCTGGGCTACGGCCATCCCGGCGGAGGAAGCGAATCGTTCTCGCCCCCGGAGGGCACCAAATTTCCGTCGTATCCGTCGTTTGCCAACGGCCACGAGCGCGACGGAGCGACCAGCAGCCAATCATCATCGGCGAGTGACGCGCCAGACCCGTTTGCTCATTTCGCGTTTGGCGACAGGGATCATCAGCACGCCGGCGTAGGGGGTAATGGTCACGCCGGGCACGGGGCGTCAGGCGCCGGCGCGAATCACGGGAGCCCTTTAGGGAGCGGCACTAGCAACGGCTGGATGGCCAGCCATTTCAACGGAGGAGGCGGCGCCGGCGAGACAACGCATGACGCTTCTGGCGGATATGGAAGTCATGATAGCGGCGGCGGTGGCGGTGGTGGTTTTGGGGCTCACGACGACGGCGGTACCGGCGGCGGGGACGGCGGGTTCGGTTTTACCAGTCACGGGTTCGAAGGGTATGGTGGTGGCGAAGGCGGAGGCGGAGGAGGTGGCGCCGGTGGTCATCACGAAGAAGGAGGAGGTGGAGGAGGCGGACACCATGAAGGAGAAGGAGGTGGTGGTGGAGGCGGCGGCGGCGGTCACGGCGGTGGACACGGCGGCTTTGAAGACGACGGTGGTGGTTACGGTGGCCACGAAGGCCACGTCAAGACGGTGTACATCACCAAAGAAGTGCCAGTACCTTATCCCGTACACGTGGAAAAAAAGGTACTTTACCCCGTGCGAGTGCCCTACGAAAAACCCGTCCCGTATCCCGTGCATAAGCCCTATCCGGTGCACATCGAGAAACAAGTGCCCATTCCCGTGAGGGTGAACGTGCCGCAGCCGTACCCGGTGACGGTGGAGAAACACGTACCGTACCCGGTGAGGGTGCACGTGGACAGGCCGGTGGCGGTTCACATCCCAAAACCGTATCCGGTGTACATCGAGAAAAAAGTGCCCGTATCCGTCGACAAACCCGTGCCGTACCCAGTGAAAATCCCAATAGACCGACCGGTGCCCATCCACATAACCGTAGAGAAACCGTTCCCGTATCCGGTCGAGAGGAAGGTGCCCTATCCGATCAAGGTGCCCGTTGACCGGCCGTACCCGGTACACGTGTACAAAGCGTATCCGGTGCACATCGAGAAACCGGTACCGTATCCCGTCAAAGTACCCGTCAAGGTGCCGTATCCCATCGAAGTCAGGGTTCCCGTGCACGGACACAATCAACATGGACAGCAAGGCCAGCACATCCGGCACGAAGGATATCAATGGGTTTATGGAGGCGGAGGCGGAGGCGGTGGTGGCGGCGATGGAGGAAGTTACCACTCGTCTAACTTCGACCACGGATTTACTGGGTTCGGCAACGGTGGCGGCGGCGGCGGCGGCGATTACAGTGGCCACGAACAAGACGGTTATGGAGGCGGAGGCGGTGGCGGCCACGGTAGAAAAGGGGGCACAGGAGGTCGCGATGACTTCAGAAGGCACGGGTGATAACGTTACTACAATTTACTACCATTACTACCATTACTACTATAATTATTACTACCACTACGTACCAACAGTAAGTGATCTGCTGCCATTTTTATGTAATCGAGAGCTCATCGCGCTGTATGTCGCGAAAAGCATTTTTGTTAGACTTAACGACGAAAAAAATTAATAAACCACTGATGTCTGTAGGTAATATTAGTTGTACACATTTTTGTCCATTTTTTTAAACATAATTATTATTATTTTATGATTGTTGTTATTCTTATCATTAATGTTATTATTGTTTTATATAAATACGTTTATAGTTGATAGTCAGTTCATTTCTGTTTATAATAATTGTGATTATAATATAGAACGCTCGTGTATTTATTTATCATTATTATTATTATTATTTCTTTCCATTTTTTTTTTCTTTTTTGAACTTGCTGTTAACCCGACGGTACTACATATTATTAAAACGTTACGAGGAGTCATACTTAGACCAGTTCGATCCGATCGAACGGCTGGCGGCCATGGCGGAAGTGTCGCGGTACGAAAACAGTACTCGTTGCAATAGTAATGGCGATCATTATTATTACCTTTTTTTTTTTTTTTGTATAACCGAACTATTGCACAAGTGCGGCCGAAACGCAAGACAAATGTAAATAAAAACAAAGTATAGATATACGGAACAGTTAAACTTGGGATAGGCCGGCGAAAACGGTGCGGATGTGACCGGTCGTCGGTGGCGCGTGTAAAAAATAAGTCGGTTATTTGTTTGTCAATAAACCTCCCTCCTTGCAAGAGTCGGCGCGGGCAACGCGTTTTCCACAATGGCAGATCGCGGAAAATGCCCAAAAAGCAATTACAGATTATTTCGGTTGTTATAAAATATTATTGTTATGTTTTTTTTTTTTGAAAACCAAACTGAGATCCGCTTTCGTTTCCTCGTGTCTACTCGTTTATAAATAAATGACGAAAATCTGTCCGCGTCCGAAGAAGAAACCGAAACCGGATCGAGTGGCACTCATGACAAATAGCGTTATGCCAATAATTGCATTGGACACACGGTGACAATATTGTTATTATTATATTAAATATGTGTGTGTGTGTGTGTGTGTGTGTGTGTATTATAATAACGCCTTTATTATTATTATATTATTCTCTACCCGTCGTCGTCGTCGTCATTGTCGTAGTCGCCGCTGTTGTTGTTTATAATAATAATAGTAAAAAAAAAGGCGTCGGTATTATATTTTCTGTAACGACATCGGCGTACAACAGTCGTGCGATATTTGTCGCTCACAATGATGATAATAATAATAATAGATTCTTTTAAATATTATTCTAATATATACATATGTGGGTTAGTGTAATACCATTGTATAGGTATATTTTAATATTGTTTTTATAGGCTATAGTACTCACCCGACGTAGGGAATGTTGGCGGGTACGTGGTATTTGGATCCTGGATCGAAATCAGTTTCGGACCTCAGCACCGGCGGTTTCACTCCACTGAGTCGTTCTCTGAATAACAAACAAATATACAATATATTAAACGTCACCCATTAACTTTGTTAAATTTTTAAAATGTGTATTTTCCAATGTATTTGATTGTAACGTCATTAGTTTGCAGAATTACTCATCCCACAAATAAAAATATATCAATAGTAAAAAAAATACATGTTTTCGTTAATAAGGATACAGCGACAAATAAATTCTATAAAAACACTCAAGTTATATACTTTAAGTATGTGTTATAGCGCAGCGACGGTATCTTTGCTTTTAGTAATTTACTACAAGGTAGTACCCCATTAGATCAAAACCCGAGATCTAAAACAAGTCTAGCTATTGTACATTTGGTTGAAAAAGCAAAACATTACAAATACAGACAGAAAACTCGTACACATTTATAAAATGAGGCTAAGGCTAATTAAACTAATAAAAATGGGGAAATAATACATAAGAAAACATTTTTTTAATTAAAAAATAGTTTATACAAATTTATTTTAAGAAATTAGATGTAGGTACTAATAGTTGATTGTTAAATTTGGAAGCTCATATTCAAAGAGATTATGGAAGTATTTTTATTTACAACCAAATTTGCAACACTGTCTATAATCCTGAGTTGCCAACCGACACAGCGTCATCAGTAATCAATACATAAATACATTTTGTTAATTATACAGCGTTATGTCACCCTTAATACTCGTCTAGTAGTAATTTGGTCGTTGAATATAATAATGTTTTTTTATTTGAAACTGTAAATTACAATTTGTTTCAACAATTAATGAGAAAAAAAAAGAAGAAAAATGCATAAAAATTAAAAATGAAAATAGAAACAGGATAATATTTTCAAACAATGTATAAACTATTATATAGAAAATGTACATACTAATAATAAAATCTATACCAAAATTAGATTACAACAAAAACCGGATCCCTAAAAAAGTTTAACATGATAGAAATCGGACTGTGTGGAGTGACCTCATGAGTATTATGAGTATAGTTATTATGGACGCCCATTGAAGTTCCACATACTTCTAATGTCTAATTAAAAAAAAAAATAAGGATGACCACTGATGAGACACAACGACCTTGACATATTGTCTGTAAAAACATTTTTATTCGAGCAATCATTTTGTGTGGGAATTTTTCCATTTTCCCATTGAGTGTGATTTGCGCGAAATTACCATACAAATTAATATCTGTAATAATCATAATACGACTTTTTGCCTTGAAACTATCATGCAACAATACGTCATACATAACAAAGAGAAAAAGTTTTCAAAACTTGAAGTGATCCACATTATTTAATTATTAACAATTACCTCATAAAGTAACAGAATGGATTTCTGATTATCGTCTGGTATTATACAACAAGAACTTATTTGCATAAGATTTTTTTTTTGAGAAATGTAACTAAGCCCTACTATATGAACGATCTGTGTAAGTTTGCTTTACCGGACCATAAGGCGGATAGGGATTCAATATTAGATACTTCCTAATATAATAGTTATACTATGCTATGGTTGAACAAATGTCGAAAAGAACAACGAATAACGATTGGGGTCGGACTTAAACATGATTTGCATGTACCGTAAATCCCACCAGTGGCAGTTGTATCTCTCCTTGTGCGTTGTTCCTCTGAATATGTCCCACCGCCACAAATCCAACGCCAAGCTAAACGGCAAAAACGTGAGTTTGTCCATGGCCAGTCCAAACAAATAGTTTATGTTGTGCGGTATGTCGTCCACCGAGTTCAATATCAAACCCAAAGTCTGCAAGTGCTTTGGCGTGGATATCGACAAAGAGATGGCCTCGCTGACGGCTTCGTGGAAACCTTTAACGGGCAAAAAAAACACATTGAACATTTGTAACAATATCTAGTGTTACAACAAATATTATCGACAATCATTACCCGGATTAGCTCCGTCCCGGTAGACTTTCGGTTGTTTTTTGTAATTCAAAAAGTATTGCACGTGAGCCATCTCGTGGTGAACGGTGATGAAGTCCTTCATGTTCACTTGAGTGCACATTTTGATTCTGCAAACGTACAACATATCCATTTAATACCTGCCTTTCGCAGTCTCAAACGAGCCGAACACCAAGTGGCCGTTTCGGTTTACCTGTAATCCTGTCTGTTGCAAAAGTCCCAGGCCGATGCCTGACAGATGATGGGTTGACCGGGGAGCTCTTCGAAGACCGAGTTGGCCCAAAACGACTGTGGCATACCGCTCATGTTCAACGATATGAAAAACTCTTCAGCCACCCTGAACATGGCCGCCGGCGTGTAACCCTGAAATCCGGTCACATATTTAATATTGTCAACAACATTAAAACAATAATAATATGATGCTGTTGGTATAATCGTCTATCTATTATGTTTAGTGTTGTATACCTGTTTGATCATCTGCGGTGTTACGTCCAAATAGTTTTTACCCGGATACGGTATGGTCAAGTCCAAAATATTTTCCCAAGACTGTCCCCACATGTTGCCTGTGTACGATAAACGTTATATTATTATCGTATAGCCGATATAGTAAAACTGTCATACCCAAAATGTGAGCTGGCAAAGGCGCCTCACGGCTTATCTTTTCGGGCCCGTAAAGGTCGCGCAACTTCTTCCTGACGTAGGCGTGAAGCTGCTCGTACAAAGGTTTAATCTGTTCCCAGGCGTCTTCCAGTTCGAATCTTAGCGAAGCTGACTCGTACGGGAACTTCCACATCTCGGATGCGTCGGACACATCTGTTTGCACACGATAAGGTTAGATTTAGGGCAGATTATTTATATTAAATCTATTATACATACTGTTGACAAGAGCCGCCTGATTGGTAACGTCCACCAGTTGATCGAACATGTCCCTGACTTTTTGCCCGGTCCTCCTCCTCCATTCTATCCACGTGTGTTGCAGTTCATTCCAGTCTCGGCTCCGGGACATGATCAGGTTCAAGTCTTAAAATAAAAGAGTTGAGAAAAATATTAGTTAACTCGTGTGTCATGGCTTCAGAAACTAGTCTAGAAAATAATATTTTGAAAAGTTAAAAAATTCGGATTCATAATTGAAAAGCAGGGGAGGCTCATGGACACCTAATTTTAAAGACTTCTCCAAAAAATGTTCATGTATATTAAATACGAATTTTTAAGTAATAACTATGGCGCCATCTATTAATGTATTTAAAAACCACCTGAATGATTTCTATACAGCGTGTACATTTGCCTTATAAATGACACATTATTCATGGTGTATTTCAGTCATGCGATTAATTTATTTAGTAGTTTAAAATTATTATGTGTTAACTTTTTATGACTAAAATATTAGTCAATATCGTTTGGTGTAAAGTTGTTTGTAAATTGTATAGGAGTTAATGGCATAGGATTTATAACAAATAATTGTTGTATTTATAAATAATTTTTAAAAATCGTTTTAGGTCGCTGAATATTACGTGTTAGCAAATTAAAAAATACTTTCGAAACCTTTGTTTTTAGCTTCTTTAACAAATATTGAACATTTTATCACAAAAATACTAAAAATATGTCACTTTTTAAATTTTCCTAATTGTTGTACTATATTTATTAAAATATATCAATTTTACAAAATTTCTCCTAATGACGAATTTATCTATACAGCAAACATATATTATCGTTTTTCAAAATATTTGTTTGTCAAGTTTGCTAATAATTTTTCTTAAAATCATTTAACAAATATTATTGTTTTCCAATCGCTGTATGCGATATTCATGTACTATAATAGGGAATTTCAATGTTTTTTTTCTTGTGCGTGTTTAATAATAATAATGATGGTAACTTGCCTGGTTCTAATCTCAGTCCGCACTTAAGCGGTTCGTCGAAAGCACACACGGAAGCGCTATTGTAGACGGCCAACATGTCATTGATGAGGCGGTTGTACTGCGGAAAAAAAAAACAAAACAGTTATTATACCAATTTATTACAATTATATGCTTTACAACAAGTGATTAATAGCGTTTGCGCGCAGTTTCTTTTTTTTTTGTAGATTTTTTTAAATTTTGAAAACGTAAACCACAAAGATTATAAGTATAATAACAACAAACAATTGTAAGGCCTATGCAAATGAACTGGACGTGATTCGAATAACAAAAAAAAAAATACATTGCATTATTGTGAATTCTAGGTTTTTGTTTTTGTACAAGTAACCAATTTCTATTCAAAGAGCTTATAAACGTTAAGCTATTTACAAAAATTTAGTCGTTACTGCGAATTTCCAAAAATATGACAAAAACAACATTAAACGATCATTTACCCGGCTCAGTTGTTCGGGCGACAAAGCGGACGGTCCCGGCATGGACAAATACTTGAGTTGCCTTCTGACGTTGGGATCGATGACGTTGTCTAGGTTCAACCTGTTTATCATCAAGTGAACTTTCCGCTGAAATTCCGAATACAACAACTGCTGCTCCAGCTGTAAAACACACAGACATTTTTTTCAATATTCGATCAATGATAAAAAAAATTATAACTAATCGTAAACTAGGTCTTAAGTAACCCAAAAGTCGGCCACTAATATACAATAGACAACGTGTAACTTAAATACGAAAAAAACTTAAACCGTGTAACTGTGCAATAATATTGAATATTATCAAATAGGATGAATTCAATATAGATGTATTCAGTTTGTGTAGTATACTGGTCGGCGATTCAGTTCAACGGTACACATGAACGTGTCAGAATTGCATACCCGAAACGCCTTGAACTCGATGTATTATTATTACCTGTTTCTTGTATTTCATTGTATTTATTTATTACTAAATTACGTTAACGTGTTAAATCTTGTATTAAATCCCTTACATGCTTGTATTTATCAAGTCTGTAATTTACCAAAAATAAATACAATTTATAGTTAATAATATTAATTTAAATAATATAATTTATTATAATTTAAATAATAATTTATTTTAATTTATTTAATATTAACTAGTTAAACATATCGACTAACGGTTTGAAATTAACTGATTTTTTTTATAAAACTTCTCAGTAATTATCATCCGAACTTAACTAGGCTTACCCTAATATTTGTATATTTTCATGAGCTTCCCCGTTTAATAATTAAACTAAAATCCGTATTTTATAAATACATACGTTACATATAGTTTTGTTTTGTTATTAAATTGAATATTTCCTCACGAGGGTTAAAAAAGGCCAATTTTTTTTTAAATTTCTTTAGATTTTTACTTTTTTTTTTAAGTTTTTCTAATTTAAATAACTAAATCAAAATTCGGCATTTTAGCCTTATACAGAATGTATTAAGCTTTCTATAAAATAAATTGAAATCCATTTAATCGAACTTTCTCAATAACTTAAAAAATATATAACTTTAAAAGTTTCGAACTAAAAAAAACTTACTATTTATTTACCTTCAAATTATTTGGCGTATTTATAACGGCTCCTACATAAATTTTTGTCAAATATTGCCTATCTTTAGCCCCTTAATAAATATTCTTTTCCGTTGCCCTTAATATAATATCTACAAATTGCAGTATAATAATTCGTTTTGCGAATGATTTGAATGACAAGCACGGTCAAGGTACAAATAAGTTAGTGTTGAATTCCAAAGATAAAGCAGTCATGTCCCCCCCCCTCTCTCTACTGGGGATACATTTTTCGGCTAAGGCGTATCGGACTTACCATATCGAAAAAGTGATTACTTGAACAACGATTTTTTAATTATCTGTATCGAAATTATACATCATAGTGTTAGCGCGTTCCTCCAGGGGACATAACAAAATGGTTTATTATTCCTAAGTATTTTAATTGGTGTGCTAACAGGTAATGTATACTGTATTGTGTAGTTTTAATAGATGTACGATTAGACATTCTGAACGATGTGTTTAGGCATTGACGGCCGTACCGAATTATCGACGCGAGCGATTACTTGCACATTTTATCATCACCTATACGTCTTATAGTCTGATTCAACCGTGCCCGCCCAATGGTTCGAGAGATTTCCGCGTTGATCTTAACAACGGCCAGTAACAAACAAGTAATTTTTTTCCAACAAGTCGTTGTTAGCGCCTACACCAATTTTTGCTTAAGTATATAGGTGAACTCGGTGGATGTGCTCGGACAACGTCATTCGACGGTCTAAGCGTGGATTTCGCATGTAGACAATGCTACTCCAAGGCTAAGACAGTCCACGCTGGGTTCCCTTGTGATTTTGAAACCGAGATTCACATGCGCCTAAATAACAATACACGGCAATAGTGTATAACAACGTTAGTGCAATATTATTGTTATATTGCCTTTGGTCTCACGCTCGCACTCGGGATAAACACACGGCCAAGAAGATAACGTCATTCCGACAGAGTGCTGGTCTGTGTTGTGCAACCCGTGTAACGACCACGACATGTAGGAACCTAGTACTGGGCTAATGGAATTTGTTAATAATCACACAAGTCGTAGTAGGCAGAGTAATCGGTCAAATAGGGTTCTCGCATAACGCCAGCCGGGGGATGACGATAAGGACTTGGGGGGGCAGTCGGTCTGACCTGGAATGGGATGGCTATTATTATATATATATTATTGTAACAATGTCCATATTATTGTTATCAGATACACTGTACAGGTCGTGTAATAATAATAATAAAGTAATGGCCCGAAGGACTCGGTGCGGTGGCGACGATTGTTAGAAAACGCTGTCGCCCTCTAAGTCAAAAAAAAAATTATACTGAGGAAACTTCATCGACCGGCTCCCGTGTGTAGTACATAATATAATATGTATATAGAGGATGTAAACAGATTTGATAGCGGATAAAAAAAAAACATAATAATAATATAGGTACCGTCAACGTCTTACGCGTATTTTTTATTTATTCCAAAACGACAATGTCAAGGTCGCTGTTCACGCGTTAGTCATGCTTATCCGTCCGGCAACAGCAAACAATATTTTAATATTATACATAATATAATAACAACAACTACCTAACTACTAACAACTACTTACTAACTTTAGCTGCATATATTTTGTAATAGTCGACGATAGAACTTAGGTTTGAAAGTTGATGTATAATGTATTTTTTTTTAAATCAGAGTAAAAATTAGTTAATAAGGAGCAAAATTCGTTTTGAGGATTGCAAAAACAGAACTTTGGATTTTTTTTTTAATTTTTGTTACCACGAAATCATTTAGTTATTTATCTAATATCTTTAAGCATCTTTGTCTATAACTATTTGGGCGAAAAATTCAACTTAATGTGAGAACGGCCACACTATTTTACTACAAAAAGTCAAGGGTACTACAAGCCAGATGGGTATCAAATACTGCAAAACACTGTTGTTTATAAAATTATCTCAATGCTTAAAATTAAAACTAAAAGCCTTTAATAAAAATGTGTCACTATATCTTCGGTAAGAATGAGAATGACATAAGTAACTAAATTTGAACGCTTTTCAATTGCAATTCAATTCTAGATTTGACAGATTATCCAAAAATTATAAATTGTTCAAACCAAGTTAAATACTAAAACTATTACAAAGGAACTGTTTATTATTACAAAATGCATACCTACTATTAATTTAAAATAAGATTTAACTTTAAAGTTCAATTCAAACAAACCATCAAAGTCGAATTTGATAAATCTCAAAACGTATTTTTGTATCAATGCAGTTTTAAACATAATCAATTTATTATTTTATATTTTTTTAATTTTTTTTATAACTTATTATACTTTTTAATGGGAAAATGTTTTCTTTTATTTTCAGTACTTATTTTCGGATTTGCTTGGTTTATTTTGCAATTAAAAATTTTAGTTATTAATAAATATAACGTGATTTGTGTTAATTATTGTTTTAAATTCAAATTGTATAAAATGGGCTGTATCTAATTTAAAAATAGTTTACGATTGTTGACTTTGCTTCTTACACAGAAAAAAATTGATTAATTTATAAAAAGTAAAATCGAAAACGTACGACATTGGCATTAAGCCACAGAATTATAATATACATATTTTTTTTTTGTCTGTATCAATACGGTTTGAGGAGCATAAAAACAAAATCGGTTTTATGGCAACCGCTAAACACGACAAGCACTAATAGCCCAAGAGCAGATGTAAACCACCATTGGTCACACGTCATAACCATATACATATATAGGTATATAGACTAACAATAATAAAACTATGTAAGATAACTTGTAGTGTATATACGTGAGTTGTTTAATGAAAACGCACCGACCTTCTGCTCCTCGCGTACATAATACTATAATATTATAGTGTTTACGGCATTTTGCACATTAGCTGTGCGACTTCTGTCCACCACAAATCGCCTAAAAATAAAAAACAACAAATAGGTGTATCTTAAAAAGCGTGCGCGCGTTTCATTTATCGCGGACGTGCCATCCGTCATTTGACGACGATCGCCGTCAGGTAAAATGCACGAGCAAGTGTTATTGTCAATAGAATTCCACACTGAGTGTTGTGTGGCATATTATTTGGGCGTAAGTCTGGTATAAGTACAACACATACACAATATGAACAAATCCGACCGTACTTGGGCCCTTAACGAGCACCGAACCCTTATTGAAACGATAAATATGTCTAGGAGGCCGATTTGTTATAAGCGGTTAAAATAAATTTGAAATTGCATACAAGCAATATACTCGACTAAAAACCATAATGATTTTTATTAAATAAATAAACAACCGAGTGAAAAAATGATAATATTTCAAGAATTCGAATACTGAACTGAGATAGCCATTCTGTAGCTAACTAAAACAACATCACTTTATACTAAATAAAGCATAATTCTTAGTAAAATTGAGTGTTAAAACTATTTTTAAAGCTCAATTATATCTGTAAATTACAGTGAGTGGAAAATGGATAACATTCCAGCTCGTTAAATGTTTTATATAAAAAAAACGATTCATTAATCATTATAATTATTATGTCATATTTCAAGAAGTTTAAGTCAGGTTCTTTATTTACATAATTTGTATGGGCAAGTTTTTGAAGAATTATTGTTATTATTCAACCAACAAATTACTTGAATCTTAATAATATATATTCCATAAAAGATTTAAACACCTTAATACATATTTTAGATATTTTATAATTATATTGTTTAAATAACGGAATAATATGTAAAAAAAAATTTTATTTTTTATAAAAACGTAATTAAAAAATTATATGGTAGCTATTTATAAATGTATAAATTGAAAATTATAGACTTGATTAAAATATTTACTTGTTATTTAAAATAATAGGTCATTGCGTTGAGACATTTTAAATGTATTGATTTGCTTACTGTGGGTTTTTATCGAATATTTTTTTTTTATATGTTAGTTATTTACATATTTCATGTCGAATGTCGATGCAAAGTTGAAATGGTATTTTCAACTATTTTTATTCTAAGCGTATCGGTGTAAAATTAATACTCTTTTTTAAGTATAATACTTAAATTGTAGTAACCAAATTCACCTTAGTAAGTTTGCTTTATACATTTTGCAGTTGTCTACTTAGTTTTTTTTTAGTTATCAAAAATAGGATCAAGAAATAACTAAAAAACAATCTATAATAATGTAATACCAACAAATGATTCATCGTACTTACTAGATGGTAAATTATGGATAACAACAAATTATTACATTTATGCATTATGATTATAATTAAATGGTATGATTTAATTAATTTTATTATAGATTATTTATTACTGATATGAAAATTATATTATATTTTATATGCTAATTTTTTTATTTAATACACCTATATACATACACATAAACAAATATTATATACAAACAAATATAAATATTCCACTCCTTTAAGCCTAATGAGAAGGAGGAAAACTCTGAATCTATATGATGCAACCTCCGCTTGAGTGCTATAAGACTTGGAGATCATACTGCAGAAGAGATTTAAAATGATGTCTGTAAAACTAGTTTTTTTAATTTACATACAAATTATATTATCATAAAATACAATGTTCCCACGGTAATCCATGAGACCTCTGTAATAGACAATCGTTAAAAATGTCGGTATTTCCATTGACGCGCTTACCACGACAATTCTTTGAATATGCTAAAAAGATGTAAGCAATTCGTCAGCAACTGTATAAACCAGTCACCTGCATTAAAATTATGTATTTTAATGCGATCGTTATAATCATTTAATCTCATTATACATGAAAAATAACGATTGATTCGTACGCAGTATAATTTATTTTTCCACTAATTGGATTCAGATATGTTCTGTTATAACTAAATGTCCGTGTTTGTGTATTTAGCATATTTTAGCTTCGATGCAATGCGAGAAGGTATTGGTTTTACTCTGATGTGTGTTTTTTTTTTATCTGTATACACTGTAACTTTTTTAATACTGGACCAATTCCTTCGAATAGCAACTCTATATTTTTATTTTCACGTGGTGCGTATGACAAGCCATTTGTATAACCCACAGCGAGGGGTACCAACTTTTGGTATTTTTCCTCGTAATAAATTCAAAATTCACATAATTTATAAATATATTAATATAATTGCAATTCGTAGCTAGTTGACGTTCCAATCTAACCTACCATGAACAACGTTTTTTGAGCTGGGTTTATTTTATTATTTTTTTTTTTGCAAGGTTGAACACAAACGCGTTAATTGATTTAAGTTATTGGTCGAATTCCTCCAACATTTAAAATATAACTAGATATTACTTTATATATATATATCTTATACGCTTTTGGTTCGCACCATTTCATTTGTCAAACTCCAAAAAAATAAGATCAATGCCAAAAAGTGACTTTTGTAACGTTGGTGTTGTTTAAAAATTAATATTGAATTGTATAACTTCACTAGGTTTTCCGATTAACTAACATGATCACATATTTATTGGCTCGACTAATCCCACATAAATTACAATTTTAAATTATAACCGATTCAAAACATATAAATCGTTTAAAATAACGTTTAACAAATAACTGAATCGTCACCATCCAATATAGTTATAATAAAAACAATTTTTTAACTAAAACAAAACAGACTATTGCCAGTTGGCATTATGCCGTCAAAATATATGTTGTAGTTTATTTTACAGTTTTTTATTTTTTATAATTTTGTTGAATATAAAACGTATATATTTTGTCGGTCTAATATCGTCTAGCTATACACTCTGGTCGAGTTGAATAAATTCAAATTTGCTGAATTTCATATGTAATTTTGCATCGTTTGCTAACAATAATATTATTGTGCGGTAGTGTATTTAATTATTTGTCTTCAAGTTTCGACGTTGCCGGCACCTATCATATTATATGTTAGAATATTTGATTACAAAAACATAAAAAATAAAGTAAAATACTCGAAACCACTGGCCGACGATGTCGGGAAAGCTCTTGCTACGATTTCACAGACTTGAAATTCAACGTCTGACATATATTTCCTGTCTTGTTGCGGAATAATTAAAACAATCATAATACATGATTGTTGTTCTTATGCATTTAGCCAAGGTCGCGGAAGAAGATCTTCATGCAACCTAAAAGTCATTTAAGTGACACGATAAACATCTCCCGTCCGTCTCCAAACCTTGTCCTAATAATCTTTCCGTGGGCTTTCCTCTTATTTGATATCGTGACCCATTAAAACGATCGTCAAACCGTTTGCCCAAACACCGCGAGGGTTAAGTTTATGTATATAATATGCGTAACCATGTGGCCATTAAGTATTCTCAAAATATTATAAAATATGTTTAACCACATAATAAAAACAAAAAACGTAGGTAACGTTTTGACTTTATATTTATACTACGTCACAATTTAATGACAATTGTACAATAACGCGCTAAAGTAAAAAATGTACTTGTATAATATAATTCGTGAGATGTTATATTGTATATTGTGAGAACTTTTTTTGTATTACTTAATTAAATGAAATGACGAAACTAAATTATTTATCCAGCTCTCGAGTGTTTTCTTTTTATTTGAAAACGCGGCATTAAGTTTACTGCGTCGGATAAAAAACAACGATTTTTATTTTGAAAGAAAATTAGTTGTAGTTCAGGAAGACATTAGGTCAATTTTAGATAAATGTCTCGTCTGGGAACGTTAATAAAAACAAATTGGCAAACTAGTTAAAAAGATCTTATAGAAACCTGTATCAAACAATGTATGCAACTTACGCTATTAAACTATTACTTAAGAACTACGCTTTTAAATCTCGACAGTATTATTTTGCTAATCTAGTTATTTTAATGTTTCTAATTAAACTCGTTTAATATACAGATATCTTTATTAAGTATAGGTCTAATTAAAGATTATTATAATTTAATAAATACATTTTAATTTGTGTGAATCCAGTATTATAAGTTGACGTTACTTATAGTGACTAAAAACTAAATTAGTATCATCTGTAAAATTCATATTTTTATATTTTAAATAATTTTGATGTTTAAGTTATCATTTTTTGAGAATTTCAATAATATAAGAATCAAGTTTCAATTACCCATAGAATTTATCGAATAAGTTCCAGCGATAAAAGTTATTTTAAAAAAGTCCTTAAAAGTGTTTTTTTTTTATAAAAGTTTTCAACAAATAATAAATGTAATATTTTACAGATAACATTTCTATGGTCACTTTTATATGAAAAAAGGTTTTACTCAATACTGCGGGACGATTTACTTGAGTATTAAAATACAAACATAGGTTATTTATAGTAAATGTTTATACTTTTTTAATAAAACTATCTTAAAAAGTTTGTACTTCGTATAAAATATTTATAAAAATATTAGTCGATCTTTCTAAGTCTATTGCTCTATCTTTGGCGCCATTTGATGATTAAGGTAATGATTTTATTTTTTTTTTTACCGTGGCGTTGGTACGACGTACAAAATAAAAGCTAATTAGATTTATTATTTTACTATTATTCTGGCATAGCCCATTTTAGCGGTGTGTCAAACCCAACCGGTTAAACAATAGTAATTGCATCGTAAAAATATATTAGATATTTTTTAACGTTTATATGTACATTTTTTTTTTTTTACTCACTGCTCTTATTTGCGTGCCCTCGTTGACATTGGTCTCGAAGTCCCACTGGGCCTGCACGTTCAGATTGCACTGCTGCGAGCCGGCCACGTCGAGCTGCTGGAGCAGTTGCCTGAGCTGACCGTTGGACAGGGTCATAGGTCCCTGTTGGAACTGCGTGGGCGGCGAATCCGACCTACCCGAGAACCTGCCGCCGCCGGCCGAAGTGTCGAAGCTCTGGCCCGGCGCCGACTCCGTGGGGAACACCCGCCCCGACCTGGTCGTCTGCGGCTGGAACCCTTGTCGCCTCTGTTGCTGTAGCTGCGTCTGCTGCCGTTGTTGCTGTTGCAGGAACCCGTCCAGCGCGGACCGGCCGTCGCCCTGGGACCGCTGCTGTTGCTCCTGGAGCACCGAGTACCTGTTGAACGAGTCCTGTACCTGCCTGTTGCGCGGGTCGTCGGTACCGGCCAGGAAGTAGTCGTTGGGGTCCAAGTACTTGTTGTCGACCCTATCCGACTGGCCGGCCGTCAGCGCGGCTACCGCCAGCAATGCCGCCGAAACGACATTAATCGCTATAGCGAAATTCATAGTTTTTTTTTTTAAAAAAAAAACTTTTAATCGTTTAGAAATACCACGGGGTAAAAAAATTCAGTTAAAAAATAAAATCACATTCGAAAAAAAAAAAACAATAATTATTACAGTAACCGTTGCGTCGCTTTTACACACACACGTTAGTATTTAACTGTACACTGCACACACCTAACCGTGAACGCCACACTGTGCGGTGACCGTCGGACTGCGGGCAGACTAATCGCGCACGTTGCATATAATATGCCGCAACGGCCTAATGAGTTTGGACGGTATCGGCGTTGTGCTGATAACAACGCTTTGGAGACTTAAACGCCGCCGCAGGGCTTCCTCCTATATTTTGTTAACGATATTGCCATGCCAAGTATACAATACAGAAACGGCGTGGCCGGGTGGGGATCGGCGACGATGCGCACCGCGGAAAGTTTGCCTTGAACCGATCGGTCCTCCTCACGTGCCGGTATACGGTGGACACGGTATTATTTTTTTTTTCTACCGTTTTCTATTATATTTTGGCGAGCCGTTCGGACAAAAAACAAAAAAAAAATTCTACTTACCCGAGATAGCTTGTAGAATATATATTTTTTTCGAAAAAACAAATTTTCGCCCAATTAGCCTGTCAATCATCGATCGAGCCGTCGAATTTCCTGGTATATTATTTAAATTAGTATTATTGTTGAATTTTTTTTTATTTTAACGTCGAGTACTTGCCGATTCCGCCGACCTATTGTTGTCATTACAATATGGCGAGACCGCTTTATAATAATAATAGCAAAATATAGCACAATAGCGCATCGTTTTAATAATATCATTATGCACTCGATTGTTATTGATAACGATATTCAGATTATATAATATTATATATATTATGGTAAGTTTTTTTATTTGTCTTCACTACCCAAGTTCATACCGATTAACCACGGACAACTCAACGACCACGACCAATGCCGACTTCGACACAAAGGGATCTTATTATTCCCTTCACACATTATACATAACTTGACATACCTATACAATAATAAATTCATTATTTAATTCGATATTTTTTTGTCAAAAAAAAACCTACATTTGTTTAAATCTCAATAAGAAAACCCTAAAAAAATATCATAATACTTGATGGTTATAATTTTCATATCCCAAGATTAGAATATTTGTCCAATTTTAGTATATATTTGTAATATGATGTAAATAATTATTATTTATTGCAGCTTATCTAATTTTCAAAAACTCTTTTTGCCTACGCCTTATATGTAACCAATAAATGTAGATATGTATAATTCGGTACTGAAATGATTTATGATGTATATCTGTACCTACTTGTCCCGGTTGATCAAAATAAATAATTTATAAATGTTAGTGTTTTTAAAGTAGTTTAACAGGTATTCCAAAATGAATAATAGTATTGATTTATTTATTTATTCGCTGTACATACCAACGTGCTTTGACTAAATTAATACCTATCGCGAAAATACCATTACTCCATAATGAGTAAAATTATGTAATAAATAAAATATTTATAATTTTTCTCTTAAATTGCACGTGAGTGTGGTCATTACAAAAACGTCAGTTTTAATATAATGTAAGCGAAGTAATTTTTTTTTTTCTTATAAAAAACCATATTTTACGTTTATTTATTAATTTAGCGTGTCGTTGTAATAACAAATTAAACATTGAATAATAATAATGCACCATAAACCGCGTTTACGACACAAATAAACTCTACCTAAAACGCCTCGTGGCTTCATAGACTTCCTCGTGTGTGTTTTTATGATTAAAGATAATATTCCATTACATTTAGTACAAGTCCAAGAAGGCCACTATACACACTGTCTCAACCGCAGATCTTGATATACTTTACTGTCCAAACATAATATGTTTAACCCCTTCAAGTCCATTAAAACTCCGTCCGAAGATAACACGTTTCCCTTTCATGTTTTCACTCTTCTTTACGGTTTCCCTGACAGGACCCGTGGACAAATACCCTAAACCGGTTGGACCTTGGCCATCATATCGTCTGGCTCAAAAATGCACTCTTAAGAGGTCGTAAAAATAACACAAGGGATACTTAAATACACACCCGGGGTATTATCAAGAGGCCACGCCGACCCTAGAGGGGTGGAATGGTTGGAAATCAAAAGCGATTACGGTTTTGTTTATTTTTTTATCTTAAGGTCGTGTCACTCGTGCACGTGTAAATACAACCTGTTCGGTCATCACAACAAACGTACGCACTATGAGTGTTTTTAGCGGTGGCTGGAACTATTCCAAATAATGATTATTAACTACTATAAATGACAAATAATATATTTTTTTATCGGTTTGTTAATGATATTATTGTGAGTGTGGCAGTTGGTCGGGCGGTATAGGCTCCAAAACGCGATGAGATGCCGTTCAGAAGCACTCTTTGCAGTTGATTTACGTCACAAGGCTATGTTTAGTTGAATGGTTGTGTGTGTGTACAAAACGATGCAAGTTGTGGCAACATAATAATAATAATAAAAAAGTATTAAAAATCGCAATGCTAAAAACAAAAATATAATAATAATATGTAAGAAAAAAATACACGACGGAATCATGTGTGTGTGTGTGTTTGTGTGTCGTTCTGGGGCGGTGGAGAAGGTCGCATAACACACATAAGCACAAGACGTGCATTTTTAGTCTGTATGTGTATTTCTGTGGGAATATTCCTGACTATTGTTCCCGGCCCTGAGGACGTGGCTGTTTGTGTGCGAAGGTCTGTAAATGGAAATCTGTCGGCTGTCTTGTGGTGACGCCATATAGTGCGCCGGTGGTTATCGTCGAGTTTGTCAGTCGAATCTTCAATTCGTTTCCACAGACAGATAGATAATATTATTGTGCGTTATAGTAAATATGGAAACCCGATGGGAACGCGTTTCCGGCCAACGCGGAAACGGTGAAAGTCGCGGAGCCTTCTCTATACGATATAGCAGTTGTGTTATTGGGGCCGTGCTCTACCGCCACCGTATAGGCTTTGGGAAAAAAAGTTTTGGTGAAAAGGAAAATATTATAAACGCGGGGTTTCCGTGAGACAATAATCACTTTGACGATAGCGAGAAATTTCTCTGTAGAAAAAACGGCACTATACCTACTAACTCGACTGTTGGACACAGAGTACATTAAAAGTAAAAATTAAAAACAAAGTAAATTCGTTTTTCTTTTTAATATTTGATTCCACTAAATACAGAATTGAAATAGGGTGAAGTGATATAACTGCAACTTAATGGGACAATTCCACTGGATTGTTCAAAATAATAATCTAAGTGATGAGAACGAAAAGGGTACAAGTGAAATTGTTTTCAAAAACAAGTTTTGGATCATACATTTATTTTATCAAAGAGACCTTTTTGTACCTGCGTATGCTTTTTAATTTTCATTAATTCTTAAAAGAAATAACGCAGAAAATACTAATGAACGTCACCCGTAAGAACACATACAAAGCAAACAAAATTTGTCGTTTTGCTTTGGTGTAGAATTTTGTATAAGTTACTTTTATACTCTTTAGTTCATATTACTAAAAATGCTAAATTTTAATTAAATTAGTTAAAGCATCTGATGTTAAAGGGTTGTAATGTTATAAACATTAAAACCAAAATAGCTGTTTACATTCTAAGTTGTCAATTTTTTCACTCCGAATTTCAGATTCGCGATTATTCATAAAATACAAAACCAAGTATTCTATTTTGTAAAACTACACAGCTGTAATTTTAAGCAATTAGCTCTTAGTAAGACAGTGGAGTGGTAAGACGACGGATTTCGATTTGAATTTTAGTTATATAAAAACAATTACGACAACCCTAGTACTAATGTCGATGAAATCATTAGAATCGTAGTATTATCAGTAATAAAATAACGGTTAACAGAAGTTAAACATAGGTAAATTATCCATAAACTGTACATAACTATAGAATACCTATTCTTGTGCTGTAATTATAGCACTCGAATTTGTCACTAATTTTGTTATTGTTTATTAATATTAACATTGATTTTGTTGTTCCAGAAAACGGAAAAATGTAATCTGTTTGACAATAACAACAATTTATTAGATTTTACAAATTATGTTCCTAAGGTAATGTAGATAATATTTTATTAGAAATTCGCATCGCAAGTATTACATTTTGGAAAATTAAAGTCTGAAAAAGTTATGAGTTCCAAATATCTTAAGATAAGCGACGTGGATTTGAATTTAAGATTTTTTTTCTTTACACGGTAAAAACAGTATCATTGTAATTTGTGTCTTACACTGCCTAAGAAATTTCGCACGAATGCGGTTTTTTTATTTTTGTGGTTTTTATACACGAACAAACAATAACACTATTTGAAATGTTTTACTTATAAGTAAAGTGTATTCTATTTGATTACTTTTAATTGTTTTTGTAAAAAAAATCATTCTCCTCCATTTAATTTTCATAACAACAAAATAAACATACACTATAAAAAAAGCAAATTTGCTTACAAGTAGAATAGTCAACGTATGTCTTTTGTCCCCTCTTAAAGTATCCTCATAAGTTCTATACCTTTTCTCTAACTATGTTCGCCCTCATTATCTTCGCTATTTCTTTACTTCTACATCACTCCACTCCAATGTCTCTTATCCGTTTTATTATTTTATTTCTCTCTTTTATTTCGTAAGACTAAACCAAATATCTCTTCAGTCTTCCATCATAACATATTTCATACTTCAAAACAGTGAACTTTTACCTCAAGGTATTTCATTTTAGACCTAAATTACTTCGGGCGTTTCTTTCTAATTCCTTTGTTCCTGTTCCTTATTCCGCCAAGGTTTCTCGATCGAGTATATGTTTCTTTGTAAGGTCATTTGTTATAAAACAAAAATGGGACTACGATGGCCCACCGCAAATCCACAGAATTACAAATAAGATTTTTTGCGAATATAATTTTAGTTGGCCACACCGGTCCTTTATATTTTTTCTATATTTCTATAAAAAAAATATTTTGAATATTTTGAATGAATTTGAAAATTGATAGTAAGTCAAAAATAAAAACGACGGCCGCCATATTTACAATGACACATTTATTAAATGACGTACTTCCTCCGTTTGTTTGTGTAAAATAAGTGTTTTCGGTAAATTTTGCAGGCAAACCAGAGAGAAATGAACTTCAAACATATTTTATATAATCAAATAGGTAGTATGAGTATATATTTTTTTTTGTCTGGCGACCGCTCGGCCGTAACTCAAAAACGCACGCGGTTTTAACCGCCTTATTATGCGCGTCAGAACGTTATAATT